TTTTTTTTTTTTTTTGCTCGTGTTCGTTCGCACGTTTCTCTTTCTTTTTTTTTTTCTCCTTCTTTCGCTTTTTCTTTTCTGTATGCCTGCTTCCACGCATAGTTCCTCCTTGCATAGTTTTCTAACCTAACAAAGCTTTCGTTTTCTTTCCTTGCCACGTTATCTTCCCTTTTCTGCCGTTTCGACCGCATCTTACATACCGTTCCGACATATCTATAATCTCGATACTACTAAACATTTCCCTTTTACATCTTCGTCTCTAGCATTTCCCTTCTTTATTCCTTTCTTTTCTTTCTTTTTTCTTCTTCTTCCTCGTTCGAATTTTATTTCGTTTAAACTTTACACTAGGTACAGTGTTGCTTCAATCGTTCGTTCCGTTTCTTCCCCCGTTTCTTCCCGAGTCTCGATAATCATCCGAAGATACGTGAGAGTAAGAGGGAGAGAGGAGAGATGATACAGAGAGAAGAGAAGGGAGCGTAAGAGGGAGGTGTTCTCGTAGAGGTTCTGTGAAGTGAAACATCGTATACAAATGCAGCCAATTAAATTCGTATCCAACAAAAGGAAAAGAAGAAGAAGAAGAAGAAGAAGAAGAAGGAAAAGAAAAAGAAAAAAACGAAAATAGAGAAAGTGACCAATCAGACAGAAGCACGGTAGAAGAAATCGGTAGGTATGAGCTGTGATTTCAAGTCTTTCTTTCCACTCTCTCGTCGTCGATCGAATTTTTGATTTCTCTCGTAAAGGATTAACTAGTCGAGCTCTTCTTTTATTTTCGAATAAAAAAAAAAGAAAAAAGTGATGAAAACGTGTCCAGATACTCACGTATATCGAGTATTCGCATATACGTGTATAAGCGCAGTTTCAAATACTGTGTAACACATATGGAAGAAAGAAGAAATCACGTAGAAGAGGGAAACGTAAAAAAGTCTGGTGAAGTGCGAAAAAAAGAAAATAAAAACCGTGGAAATTAAATATTTTCAATCGATTTTATTGAAAATAATACAACAAAATATCTCATAATAATAATAATAATAATTAAAAATAATTAATAATAATTAATGATACGTACTGCTCTATTCGGTGTCTAAATAATCATGTCTTAAAACGTCATTTAAATAATAATAATATTATCGTCGTCATTGTTGTCGTCGTTATTGTCATAATAAAATAAAATAAAATAAAATAATAATAATAATAATGATAAAATAATAATAATAATCGCAAAGACAATAAAGTTAATAATAATAATAATAATAATAATAATATCGTATTAATAATAATAATCATATCGTATAATAATGCATTAATAAACAAACTTAATAATCTAATTATTGGTTAATGATTCGTCATCGTCCTTGATCGCTATCAATGGATCTTTTTTCTTTACCTAGCCATTAATAATGGATAATTAATTAATTCATTAATTAAATTACACGTTGCTTGGATATGCACATACAGATATAAAGTC